AATATACTTATTATTCCACGCACAGTTTTAAATTCTGAGAGCAATCATGCAAAAATACTAGTCAGAAATACTTATTTAGAACTCGAGTGGATGCAAGTAAACTTATGTAATCAAATTTGGTAACAATTTCTAGAAAAATATTTTCATTTCCTTTTGAATACATTGAATATTGCACAAGCATCAAATGACGTTTAAAATTGTATTTTAAACAACTGTACAAATAAAAGAATAGGAAAACTAATTCTAGTATAGCGGATATGATCTATTTTAATAATTCTAACTATGGGCATAAATAGTTTATATATTGTTAAGAAAAAAGATTTAATATATAATATGTATAGAATACACGTTTAACTTATAAATTTATGAAGAGAACATTTTATATTATAACTTATTTCAATGAAGTATGGACCTCTTATGTCTTCTGTCTGATATTTATCATTATCCACTTTAATTGGAAAATAAATTCCAATTACCCTGCTCGTAGGAGGTTGTTGGCAAGTAAAAACACTTTGCACGTGAGTAAGATGAAAAAATGCTTTCAGTAACCGTACACGTTCAAGGTATACATTACCGTTCATGAATATCCGGATACTTTGGTTGATTTGTGGCAACAGTGCACGAATATTAAAATTGATGACACGATGACGATCAGAAATAATATTTATGAGATCAATGTCAAGATAAATTATAAATGCAAATTATTTATTAGTATAATAAAATGATATTCTTTTTTTTTTTTTTTGATATTCAATAAATTTTGATCGAGTAATTTATTAACAGCGACGATATCCCAAAAAATTGGGATCATTCGATTTTTTTTTACCACAAAATCTACAAAATAATTTAATCAATGTTGGAATGTTAAATGTTCTTGTCAAAAAATTTAAATAATATATTTTAAAATCAAATGGTTATCAAAATTTAAATGATTTAAACTGTTTTTGAGCAGAATTGCATTTTAATCGCATTCAAAGAGATAATCCAAGTATACGGATATTTTTTTTTTTTTTTTTTTACCTACATAAACATATGTATATACACAATATTGCAATCGTACAAAAATATATCTATTTGCATACAATTTGATACTACATTTATCTAATATGTAATAATACATAGCGACACGTTGTAATAAATTTTCAAAAAAAAAAAAAAAAAAACTTACGACTGTAATAAAATTTCTGAAACAGGAAATAATGGA